GACTTGGGAAATAAGTGACCTGCAGCGAGTTGGCCCTGCTGGGTGGACCCTGGGATCTCTGTCTTGGTGCATCTTTCTTTGCTGTAAAGCCAGGATGGGAGCTGGTGTGTCATCGCATTGGCATCACATTCCGTCTTCTTTCCTTCCCAGAGAAGAGGACAGACAAGTCAGCCGTCTCAGGGGCCATCCGACTACAAATCAATGTGGAGATCAAGGGGGAGGAGAAGGTAGCCCCGTATCACGTGCAGTACACGTGTCTCCATGAGGTGAGCCAGCCTTTCACCAGGAGGTCCTGCTGAGGAGACACTGTTGAGAATAAGCACAATTACTAGGTGGTTGAAGATGTGGGTCCTTTTAAAATTTAATTTAATTTATTATTATTATTATTCTCAATCATTTTATTAGGGAGTCTTCCAGCTCTTATAACAATACATACATCCAATGTGTCAAGCACATTTGTACATATGCTGCCATCATCTTTTTCAAAACATTTTATTTCTATTTGAGCCCTTGGTATCAGCTCCTCATTTTGTACCTCCCTCCCCCATCCTCATGAACCCTTGATAAATTATCAAGTATTATTATTTTCATCTTACACCGCTGCCTTCCTTCACCCACGTTTCTCTTGCTTTTTTTTTTTTTATCCTTGTCTAATTGTATTGCCTTGTACAACCCAAGTCACTGTCCCAGCCTCTGTCTCATAATGTGAGACTCGGCTCTGGGGGCCACAGGACGCACTGGGCAAAGAGTTGAAGGTACTCTATTCTCATACGCTTGACTAGCAGTTTGTCTCATTTTTAATACATATTTAGGAACTATCCTCAAGCATGCATATTACACCAGATTGAAATATTTATGCCCGATCCTCCAGGGAAGCACTGTGAACAAGCCCATTGTGGTTGACATCTTTCAGTCCCCTCAGTTAACTTTCTTCGTGGCAGCAGTCTCCTAGATCCCAACCTTCTGTGACATAGGCTGCTTATAAAATGTCAATGAAAGCCATGGGCCCTGTCCTCGGGAAGCGGTCCACATTTCTAGCGGTCCTAGATCCTTGGAGATGCGTCCATAAATTCTGTGCAAGTAAGAATTCCTGGTAAAACATAACACGGGCTTTGGAGTAAAAAGACAGACTCAAATAGGACTCTACAACTTACAACCTCGTAGGGTGGCTGAACAAATTTCACAAGCGAAGTGGAGGTTTAGTGTAGTGTGCTCCGTATAAGGTGGGTGGTAACTCCTGCTTCACTGAGTTGTGGGAAGGATGAACTGAAGCTAGGTATGAAAAGCATCTAGCAGGGTACTTCACACGCAGTTGAGTCTTGGTTAGAAAACTTCCTTTCCCTTCCCTGAGCCGAGTCCCCACCAAGGCACTCCAGGCCAGCAAAACAGCCTGTGCCTCTGACTAGAATTGCTCCCCTCGGGTAGATGCCAGGAGCTGAATAAGTTCAAGGCTCCAGGGCAACCTCATCTGGCTCTGGGCTGTACTTTGCCCAAGATATGTCCAGTCAGTGTGATCATTTATTCTGCTACCCTGGAGGCCAGTTCTTGGCTCCATGTGTTTCTCAACTGTTTCTTCCCTGCTCTGTCTCCTGCAGAACCTTTTTCATCACCTCACAGACGTTCAGGGCAGTGGGGAGACCCGGATCCCCGAGGCGCGAGGAGATGATGCATGGAAGGTGTACTTTGATGAGACGGCTCAAGAAATTGTGGATGAATTTGCTATGCGCTACGGCATTGAGTCTATATACCAGGCCATGACGTAAGTCTCTCCTCGGGTTTGGGGGATGGCTAATGAAGGCCTCCTGACAAGGAGGATAGGTTCTTGGTGGTGGTGAACACAGTGATCCATTGCTTTGTTTTGCTTTCTGCACTGGATCGGGTAAGCTTGTTCCCCACACCTTTTGAAGTCTCCTTGTATGTAAAAAGGAGGGTGCGTGTCACTCACTCCAGGACACTGGAGAGAACTCAAGGATAGGAAGAAGAAGGGCCTGGGAATAGATGCAAGGGCCAACCTGCCAGAGCATCCGTGGCCTGAGCCAACAGGGTGTATGTGTCTGTGAGAGAAACGCTGACCGCGTTTGTCCCAGGAGTCCGGGAGGGCACGGCACTTTAGGGAGATCTGCTGGGTATGGAGTTGTTCAAGGCTCCTTGGAGAAGAGGAGGTGCAGCTTGTCTGTGGATGAGGCTGCCACCGGAGCTGGACACAGAAAGCACCTCAGGGAACCAGAGGCTAGCCAGTGCCCTGGCTGTGCTTCATCTAGCTATCAGATTTCTATTGACTTTCCAGTCAGTCCCTCACTGTGCTAGGTGCTGAGAACACAAAGATACAGACGTGGAAGACCAGTAAACAAACCATTAGGATATAACGTGCCGAGGGCTGTGATAGAAATAATCATGAGTCATCAGCAGAGCACTAGGGAACAACACCTCAAGTTCAGGGGAGGCATGTGAGGGAGGGGCCCTGTAAACAGGAGACATGTCAATTTCCTCTTAAAACAGAAAAGGAGGAAGGGATTTCTTGTAGGGCATGTGCAGAAGTGCTAAGATGCAGGAGAACGTAGTATCGTCAAGCGGTTGGGTATAGATGGCGAGAGGATACACGGTGGTGGTAAGTGTGGAGATTGGCCAGCTGCCATTCTTAACTCTGCTGTCTCCCCATGGGTGACATCAGCCACACCTATGACATTAACCACTGCTTCGAGGCTAAGGACTCCCAGGTCTTTGGCTCCACATCAGACCTTCCCTACAGTTCAGGTCTATTTCCCTCTGCTTCCTGGCCCCTCCGCAGCATTGCACTCTCAGCACGGTCACGGTCCAAATCAACGTCATCGCCACCAAATCTGCTTGAGCGCCTCGTATTTCTTATTTGAGTAGCTGGAACCATTTTCTACCCAAGCGTTCAAATAGAAATTTAGGAATTGCCTACGGTTTTCCTCTCCTTCCTGCCTTTTTTTTAACCACCCCTCCTCCAACGTATGAAAGGTGTCTTTCTAACACTTCTTTTTCAACTTTTCTTCAGAGTGACATTTTTAAGAGGCATGTTTAATAATACTATGTCTATCTTAAGATTTACCATCGCTTTTAGTATAAACTCTATGTTACCTATTTTCTGCCCACTTAGCTCTCATTTCTTGCTATTCTGCCACCAAATGCTGCCATAACCAAAGCTTCTCAGTTATGAATTTATTTGTATTTGTATTGCAATTTTCCTTTGAATGCATGCTTCTCCATTGATTAATTCCATTAGGAACTCTTTTGCTAACCTCTTCTGATTTAGGTTGTATGCCTCAGATGGTTGGTTTATATGCCAACCCTTGGACTCAGCTTAAAGGTCGATAGTTTAAACTGGCTGTTCTCAGGGAGAAAGATGTGGCAATGAGAGTACAACCTGGGAAACCCTGGAAAGTAGTGCTACCATGTCCCATTGGGCTTACTATGCGTTTGCTATGTGTTGCAGTGGGGTATGTTTTGTTGTTGTTGTTTTTAATCAATACTTGCTTTCTCTGCAAGACTATCAAGTCTTTGGGTTCCTATTACTTAGAACAGAACCTGGCAAATAGTAGGCATTTGATGAATGTATATTTGAATATAAATTAAAATAGCCTTGCATGCCTAAGTGACTAGGAGCCTCATATGCATCAGAGATCTTTTGATTCTTGGTCTTTGCTGCAAGCCCTATGAGTCTTTGAGGCTGAAGGTGCCATGTTTTTTCAGGCACTTTGCGTGTCTGTCCTCCAAGTACATGTGTCCTGGGGTGCCAGCAGTGATGAGCACCTTACTGGCCAACATCAATGCCTATTATGCCCACACAACTGCGTCCACCAACGTCTCTGCATCCGACCGCTTCGCAGCCTCCAACTTTGGGGTGAGTGTGATGTGAATCATTTGTATCAGTAATATTTGGTTTCTCTCAGGAAGCCCAAGGATATTACTAAGTACCAAAGTGTCTGACCTGTTTCTCCTATTCAGGCTCTGTTCTTTCCTGGTGTTGAGGTATCTGAGATGTTGAATCATTCATTAGAATGTCACCTGATTTACTTTCACTATCCGAGGGGTACCCCACCCCAAAAAAAAAAACCCAGAAAAGCTCCACTGGACAGAGATCTTGTAGTATACATTTTTCTCACCAGGGGAGCAACCAGCAACTCGCTCTGAGTTAGTGCACCCAGTGGCGTCACCTGAGAAGGTTCTTTCTGGTCACAGTAAATTTTTTTGTAAAAGCAGTTTCTCTTGAATCTCATATTTTGTGATGGTTAATTTAAGAGAACAGCTTGCAGCTGTGAAATTTTGTTTTGTGCTCAGGAAAAGTGCCGCAAAACTGTTGTGATGTTAAACACAACTTACAAGGACAGCACTATGGAAAAAACTCAAATCTAGGTGTGGCTTTCTTATTTCAAAAAGGTGAAATGTTGATGGATAACGAACTTTGTTCTGGGCATCCGTCAACTTCCTGAACGGACAAAAATGTCGACTTGTAGTGTATTTGGAGTTTGTTCCACCAGGTCAGACTGTTTATCAAGCTTTCTATTTAGAGGGTCTGAAAAGATTGCATAACAGTGTGTGACAAAAAAGGTCTGATTTGTGGCAGACGGGACTGGTTTTGCTACCATGACAATACACCTGTTCATGTAGCCATCTTGGTGTGCCAGTTTTTGGCAAAACACAGCATGCCTCTCTTGTCCCACACACCATACTCACCTGACCTCACTCCGTGCGACTTCTTTTTGTTTCCTCAAATGAAGAGAGAGACATGAAAGGACAGCAATGTGACAACATAGAAGAGGTTGAAGAATAAAACAAGGGAGGTGATGTCAGCCATCCAAACAATTGAGTTTGAAAAATGTTTCCAAGAATGGAATTGCAGATTTCACAAATGTATTAAGTGTAATGGAGAGTACTTTGAAGGTGATAAGGTGGTTTTGTAAAAAAGATGAAGTACATAGTTTTGGAAAAAATTCCGGTTTGGGGGTGGTACCCCCTCGTAAACTGGATGAATATCTCTGACTCATCACAAAGACCACCTCTTTTGGGATGAAATTGTTGATATTCCCAAATTCACCGAGTCTCTGAGTCTTCTTTTACTGAACTATTTTTGGTTGTTAATAGAGACTTTTGATGTATTTGTGTCATTGGCTAAGCCAGTTATAGATCTGTTCTATTCTGTCTCACCCCAATGTATATTTACTTAATATCTAACGATCTATAGTTATTATATGAATTCTAAAAGTGCTTTTCCAACAACCTACAGGCACATTCTTCCTCATTTACTTATTTTTTTTCTATAAGAATAAAAGACTAAAACATTGCTCATTTTAATATTTGAAAAACATCAACCATCTTCCAAAGGTATCACTCTTACCCCCATTGCCAGGTGATGGCTATGTATCTGTTGACTATCGCAAGGTAGAACACCAGGGGACCGGGGACAAGTTGGATAACACATTTAGGGTTCCCTTTATCATTTTAAGATAAGTTAGTCCTAAAGGGATGGAGGTCATTTTGTATAAAAATAGCTAATTCCCATCCCAGGCTTTTCCCTTGGCAGTGTGAGAAGACATCCTAGTGTGAGAAAGAGCTGCTAAGAGATGTAGTAGGGACCATCTGTCCCCGTCTCCCCCACGTCATTTGCTCTTCTCCCTATGGGCAAGGAAGGATAGGATGGACCCCCAGCTCCATGTCACACCCATTCTTTCTACTCACCCAGAGGTGGTTCCTGCTACTGTCTAGAGCACCCAGTGAGGTTCTCTGTCTCTTCTCCATTATTGTCTCCCACCCTCAGAAAGAGAGATTTGTGAAACTGCTGGACCAGCTACACAACTCGTTGAGAATCGACCTCTCCACATACAGGGTGAGTGAAGAGATGGCCCTGAGGAGGGGGGAGCGCAGCCTCTCCGCTTCAGGCCTGGGAGACTACAAACCAGGCCTGGCTGTAGCGACAGATCATGGATCTGGGTTACAACACCCACATGAGTGGCCAGTGCCACTGCCAATGGTGGTACTGTACTCCCAAGGACACCCCCAGCGTGTAGACTGTGGCACAGAGGACCTTGAACAGGCCCCTCACATCTGTAAAGCCTTCATGGTATCTTCATGAAGGAGTCTCTTGGGGATCATCTCATCTAGAAAGGCCTTTTCAAAAATTAGACACTTCGTTATAGTTTAGTCTTGCTTCTTTCCCATACACTTCTCATTTTCCAGAGCAAGTGTGAAAATCTGTCTCAGGAGAGAGGAGCTGGGTCTGGACAAGGATCGAGGTCATGTCCATCCCTAGTAGGAGGAAAGGAATGCATGTCGGAAGATGGGCTCCGGGGAGGGGGCAGGACAGGGAAAGGAGCAGTTTCTCAGGCCCTCCTGAGTGAGATTGTCTCAGAATGGTTTAATGACTTGCTTTAAAGCGTTGTGACTTTCCAGAACAGGCAATATGTGCACATTGAAAACTAAGTATAAAACAATTCAAAATAAAGAAGTGAGGCTTTTAATTATCTGCACTTCTGGTGCCCTCCATTTGCATGATTAATGGAGTGTTTGACTGTATATCTTATATTTGGCATATAAATAGCCATTTAATGGCTAAAAGGGAAAAAAACCCACAAAAAACCGTGTCTTAAAGTGGAGAGTGGCTAGGCCATCTCTGGCAGCTCCCTCCTGCAGATCACGCCAAAGGGAAGGAAGGGAGGCATTACAGGAAGGTCTTAAGGCCTTGAAAGGACTCCCAAAGCCCTGCTATCTGCTGGCAACAGAACAGGGTGCTTCTGTGCAGAAAATACTTGTCCTGGATGGACCTCAGTCTGGTCTGTAGTGTGGCTATACTTATATTCCAGGACATACAGTTAGAATGTATCTTTTGAATGTAACTTTTGTAGCACTCCTTGTTTGGGTATAAGAATCTCCACCCAAGAAAAGTGTGTGTGTGTGTGTGTGTGTTTACGTCTGTGAAAATGCTCGCGCATTGCATGGAAAGTAGAATTGGGGGCAGGATGTAGTGCTTTCTGGGTGGGGAGTCTTGGGCTCTGTTTCTGGCAGGGCCCTGTGTCTGCCCTGCCCAAATAGGGAGACTCTAGTGGCTGGCAGTCTGAGGAGCTTTTGCTTCATTGACTGGGAAGGCTTTCATATTCATCTTGTTTCTTTCTTATACTCGCATGATTTGCAATAGAATAACTTCCCTGCTGGGAGCCCTGATCGCCTTCAAGACTTGAAGTCCACAGTGGATTTGCTGACCAGCATTACTTTCTTCAGAATGAAGGTAAGGGACAGACAGAACTGGGCATCGCTGGGCAGAATAAGTTTCTTTGGGCAGAGTTTGAGGCTACACATTTCTTCACTTTTAAGCCCACATTACTATAGACCTATATCCTGGGTCACTTCTGAGCGAGCCCATAGACCATTAATCAACAAGGATGAGCTGGATAGTTCTCCCCCAAGAACTCTCCTCGCTACTTGAACGTTGGGTGCAAGGGCCCACAGAGATAGGAAGGAATCTGGAGTGGTTTGGAGGAGTACTGGAAAGAGATTACACCCAGATGAACAGGACTTTGGGCCCATGATTCTTCTATTAATTGGCAGGTGCAAGAACTGCAGAGCCCTCCAAGAGCCAGCCAGGTGGTAAAGGATTGTGTGAAGGCCTGTCTGAATTCAACATATGAGTATATCTTCAACAACTGCCATGACTTGTACAGCCGCCAGTACCAGCTGGTAAGATGCTGGGGATCGAGTGGGGCTGGCTGTCAGGGGCTCTTGGAGCCTTGGCCTTCCTTTGCTGTGGCCTTGGTGAAAGGGAGCACAGGGTAAAGTCTGAAATTCTTTTGGCTGAGTGAATTGTGCAGTGCGTGCTAGTTAGACGATGTGATACATTTGTGGATGGAGAAGGGCCATTAGAAAGGCTCTGACACATCAGAGCTGAACAGAAAGTTTTACTTTGGTTCTGAAAAAAGTGAAGCTCAATTCTAGCATGATTCAGGAATTGGGTGGTGACAAATTCTCAATCCATGCCTAAGTCTCTCCTACCTCAAGATTAGCATTATTTTGACTGACTGAGCCCCTTTATGCAGCTGCCTTTCTGAGCAACTGGACCCTGGAAGTCTAACTTTTCCCTCAGTCCTCCTCCTCTCTCTGCCTGGCATGGTGTTCTGATGCATTTTTACCAAATGATCAGCAAGCGTGGCCCTGTCCATCTGCGAGGCTCAGCTACTCCACCTATTCTGGACTGGCATCCTAGCTCAGCACCTGATGACTTAGTGGGTTTTTCTAGAGCTTTCTAACAGTGCTCACTTTTTTCTCACTTCAAGGCCAGGGCTGCCTCTTGGCCTAACCACCTGATTTCAATTCCCAACTTAGGAATGTCTTCGTGACCGTACATTTGCAGAGTAAATAAATTCTCCCCTTCAGTCCAACAAAATGTTTTGAATGTTTGTCCTGGGACAGGTCACTTTCCTGAAGTATAAGAATATAGATTTGGGAAATGCCCAATGTGCTTCTCAGTAAATTCTTAATCTCCTGGGGAGATACTTAAGCAAATGCTTCCCTCTAATCAGAGCACCTGGTTAGAAGGCCCTCAAGAAATTGAAGGAATTCGATCGAAGAAGGCCCTCCTGACCAGCTGGCAATGAGGGCTCTTTAGAGCAGACCGTGGAAGGCAGGTAGGCTTGGTACAGCAGATGAGGACAAGGCACATTTCTTGGCCATTGCCCCTTTGCTGCTTCCTAGAAGCATCTTGTTGTTGTCGGGTGTCCACAACCCCATGTGGCAGAGCACCGCCCTGTAGGGCGTCCTTGGCTGTCATCCTATGGAAGCAGATTGCTAGATCTGCAGAGGCACTGGGTCGGTATGAACCTTTCAGTTAGCGACCAAGCACTTAATCATCTGCACCACCAGAATTCTAAAGAAGCCTGCCATCTTGGTCACGTTGCCTCCTCTCATGACCAAACGTGCTTCTCAAGCCAGCCATAGCTTCAAGACTTCCTCTCTATGAAGGCTCTAAGACCTCATTGGTTCTGAAGTTCATGGGAGGTCCTCCAAGGCCCTTGGTTTCGCCACACTCTGGGCTTTTCTGTTATCCATCTGCAGATTTCTCTGACTGGGAGAAGCCCCTGTTCTCCACTTTGACACTTCAACCTTCAAGGGACTAGCTGAATATTTGAGCTCGGCTTCCTAATGTGAAATGAACCACTCAGGGACCGTATATAGCTTTTGTGCTTTGCGAGCTGCTCTTTTACTTTCTCTCATTCTCATCTTCTCATTTGTAGAAATGGGGTAAACCTGTGGCATACTTTTGACTTTTCATCTGCTGACCTTCCGCCGTTGGTTTATTCATCCTTCTGTTGGCTTAACAAGCTGAGCACCAGGGATTCAGTTGATTTAAACCTATCTCTAGCTTCCGGAGCTCATAGTTCACTGACAGAGATACGTCGATCATTGATGGCTGCATGGAAGTGGGAAGCAAGTTATTACATTCATCGTTATTTTTAAAAATCATTTTTACGACATTGTATTATTGTATTTGACTGATAGGTCTGTATGAGAGGTTCACAGAGGGTGCTCTGGGAGTCCAGAGGAGGGGCATAGCCAGGTCAAGGGTGCCAGGAAATGTATCAAAAGGAGGGAAGCGCCCCCTGAATTAGCAAAGAAGAAAGAAAATAGAGAAATATCACATAGAGAAAATAGATTGTTTGGAGATGCAAAATCATGAATGAGTACATTTAAGAAGAAAAAGGAATTTAATTCGAGCATTTACAGCCTCAGACGTTGAAGGCTGACCATCCGGCATCAAAGCGTCCAGCTGGATGACCTTGGCAAGTCAAGTAACCTCTCAGCCTTCAGTCTCCTGATCTGTAAAATGAAGAGAATAACCTCTCCACCCTCGTGCAGTTGCTGTGAAGATGAACTAAGACAATGAATGTCAAGTTCCTGGTACCTAATAAAAGGGAAATGATGGTGGTGTCATGAGGACAGCACAGAAAATACGTGATGTGGGAAGGGATTTCGTGGTGTGCCCTATTCTGAGGGACTTTGTGTCAAGCTATGGAGCTTGAACTTTGCTGAAAAGCTTTAAGGCAGGAAGTTGCACCATGAGATGACTTCTGTAAAAAGGTCACTGACAACTGCGTGGAAAGTGGATTTCATGGACAATCAAAGATGATTTAGGAGGATTTTGAATGATAAGAGCCTAAGCCAGGATAGTGGCAGAAAAAGTAAAAGGAAGAAATGCGTTTTAAGTCAATATTTTCCAGCATGGGCACCCCTGAGGGACACCGGAATGACGCCTACATTTCACCCTGGACTGTGGGCTGTAGAACAACGCTTTCATTGCCAGGGGAGCAGTGAGTCATTTTTGTTCTGAAAAGGGGACAGTAGGTGGGCCAAGTAACTTTGGGAGCCTAGGACTTAAGTGATATCAAAAGAGGTGAAGTCAACAGGATATAGATTCCATCTGGTGTCTAGTAACTTCCTGGTAATGTGGGCATACTGGGGTCTATGATACCTTTTGATAAAATGTGGTATCACTCATAAAAATCCTGTCCCTATCCTTCTGGGCAACTCCAATTTTGCTTTGTCCCATTGGAAGATATGTCCATTCCAACCTCTCTGTAGTGACCCCTACTTGCCCTGTCTTAGGACAAGTGGAGCAGACCCACTAGTGTATTCCCTTGCTTTTTCTCCACAAACATACTTTCTTATCTAGGGTGTTAGGCCGGGTTGACCAGAGAAACACTCATAGAGGTATAAGAAAGAACTTTATATCAAGATGTAATTGTACATGGAGAAAACATCTTAGCCAAGTCCAACTCAAGTCCCTAAGTCTGATACTAGTCCATAAGTCCCTCTTCAGACTCACACAGCCACCTACAATGATGCAAAATGCAGGAAGATCGCAGGCCCGTAGATGAAAAGTCTTGTGGATCCAATGGTGGTGGATGCATCTCCAGGGCTCACCCAGGTGTCCACCTGTGTCAATAGGAAGGTGAAGGCAGAGAGGGGGGAGGTTCCTAGGACCCTCCTTATGAGGAGGTCACCCACACAAGGAGGCACCATAAGACTGTGACCTGGTTGACCAGCTAGACTCCACCCCTACACTTCAAGTTGACAAAAATTTTGGAAATACCACATCCAGCTAGAGAAATAGCTTTGTAAATCTTGCCCATTACATTCAGGGCCCAAGGGAAGTCCCACCCTGCTGAAGGTAACACAAAGCCTGCATGCTCCTCTGTTCAGCATTTCAGAGCTGAGTTATGTATATGTGCCATGGGCAGGGACACCACTCAAGGAGGACCACAGCTAAGGGTCACATGGAATTAGATCGACTTAATCTGCAAAGAGTTAAGAGTCTCGGAAACTCACAGGGGCAGTTCTACCATGTTCAATAAGGTAGCTATAGGAGTTGGCATTGACTTGGTGGCAGGGAGGGGGTTTTCTGTTTGTTTTTTCCATCTGAAAGGCAGGGTCAATGAAAAAGAAAGGCCTTCAACACGATGGATAGAGCCGGTGACTGCAGCAATATGCTCACACGTAAAACACTGTGGCGACGGCACAAGAGCAGGCGGCATTCCGTTCGGTTGTCTGTAAGGTGGCTGTGAGGGGGCATGGCCTCGGGGGCTCCTAACAACAGCACCAAGACTGGAAGTCTTGTAGAAGACATGTTCTAGGAGAGATAGGATCCTCCTTCCAGAGGAGTGTGGGGAAGGAAAACAAGGAGGAAGACGGCAGACACTGTCCACATTCTACTCGGACTAAACTCTCTCTTCCTGTCTCCCCTGGAACAAGAAGCAGGAGCTACCTCCAGAGGAACAAGGGCCCAGTATTCGGAACTTGGACTTCTGGCCCAAACTCATCACACTTATTGTCTCAATCATAGAGGAAGATAAGAATTCCTACACACCTGTTCTCAACCAGTGAGTATCAGCCCGCTTGGGCCTGTCTGGTTGGTGGTTGGTCTGTCCATGTGTCTAACAGCCACTTTCTTTCCTATCTCTGTGTGTTTGCAGTGCTGCCTCCTCCTCCTGTCCGTTCATCTGTCCCTCTGTCCCTTGTATCTGTCTGGTAACTGTTTCTGGAGACAGGTGTGAAACGTAATGGTGGGCCCCACCCAGCCTGAGCCAGCCTCCCTGGAGTGAGAGGCCTCTGGGACTATAGCTGCCCTAAGAGCCCCAGAGGACCCAGAGACCATGTGTGTATGTGTCTGTCCACTGTGAATATAGCAGGTCTTCTTAAAGCCCACCCCTGTGCCCTTTCCCCCACAACCTGTTTCACCTGGGTCTTCCTTCCAGCCTCAGCCCTTTTCCCCTGCTCAGTTCCCTGTTTTGGGGGCACCCTCTCCCCAGGCCCACTCGGCTTAGGGGATCCTGTGCCCTCCCTCTTAGCCTACCATTGGCCCCTGATCCCTGTTCTCCAGATTGAGCCCAGCCCTATTTTCTAGGCTTCTCTTCTCTTTAGCCTGACCTCTAAGAACTTACTCTCTGACTCTTCTATTCTTGTCTCATCCAGGTTTCCTCAGGAATTGAGTGTGGGAAAAGTGAGTGCGGAAGTGATGTGGCACCTGTTTGCCCAAGACATGAGATATGCGCTGGAGGGTAAGGGGTTGCTGCAGCCAGTGCGCTGCTAGGGCCTAGCCCAGGTACCTCATCCCCCTGTCCCTTGCTTCTCCCAGGTAACTGCAAGTGCTGGGTGAATGGTACAGTGAGAAACCAGAGGGACTCTGGGCATGGTGGGCGGTCAGCCCGAGGAGGCCACGGGTGAAAACGTGGAAGTGGCTATGTGGGGTTAGGTCCTTCCTTCAAGTTTTGGAGACCCCGCAAGCCTTTCCAAGCTCAGATGACTCACTCCCAAACTGGGTGCCCTCAAGTGGCCTGCTCTCGGGCGAATGGCTGTGTGTAACTTACCCTCACTGCTCTAAACGTCAAGGAACCTTAAATACAGAAGCAAACTTATTTTCTCACCCTGAGGGCTGCTTGGCCTAGGTTTCCTTGAAAGCCGCTCTGGGTTGGTATGGTAGAGCCAGAAAGATACTTCTCCCTTGACCCCTCCTGTAGGGCAAGGCCACAGACCAATTATGATCCATCTCCTTGACTGATTGCCCACCTTGGCCCTCACTCCCTGCTGTATCAGATCTTCCCAATGGGACCCCTCTGACTCACCTGTTGAGCTGCATTCCTTGTTTATTTTTAATCAGTGGCAGGCACAAATAGGTAACCCTCATACTCTTAAACTCTTGAAGTTTAGACTCAGTGATTAAAAGGGACCTTGAAGATCCTTGTCAACCTTGAGACCACCCAGGCTGCACACACACAGTCTGTGATGTCGTCCCGAGCAGTGGCTGCCTCTTGGCCACACTGAATCAACCCAACGAGGAAGCCACCTGTCCCTCTCCCTGAGGCAGCACTCAGCAAGCCCAGCGGGTCATGTGGTTCCAGTTGCTGAAGAACCCCAACTCCCGTGAGACAAATAGGAGGAGGAATGTAGTTCACACTCGAGCAGAGCTCTTCAAAGAAAGCGACTGCAGGGGCGAAAGGAAGGGGACCCCCCCCACCCCCGGGTCAAGCTCCAGGCCTTGTCCTCGGCACCAGCTAAGCCGCTTCTACCATTATTTGTCCTATCTTGGGGTTCTAGGTGAGATTTCTTTTGAAAAGGGAGTTGTGACAGTGTTTAAAACAAATACAGACAGAAGGAGTCAATGTCAGCCTGCCTTCAAATCTCTGCTCCACCGGCTACTTAGCAGTGTGACCTTGGATGGAACCACTCAGTTCCCGTGAGCGGTTTTCTCAGCTGTGAGATGGAATGATAACAGCACATGTTCCATTGAACTGATGTTGTAAATGAGATTTGTAGAACTCATGGAGAGCCCGGCCTGGCATTGATTCAGCATGGATTGTCTTAGTTATTAAGGACAATAAGAAACCACTGTCGGCTCTTCAGCAGAGATGCAGCATGCCCCTCAGCGGAAAATGAGACAGCTGGAACAGAGAGAAAGTGGCAGCCGAAAGCCCAGGTCATGAGGAACTGTTACAGTCATTTAGGGTTGGATCGTTCGGGGCTAGGATTAGAACCGAGAAAGAAGAAATGCGCTTGGAAAGACAGTGAAAGGAAACTGACATCAGAATTCGTGATTGTTGGAATCGGAGGACAAGAAAGAGTGCAGGGTTTGAGGTCTGGCTATTTAAAGAGCAGCATCCCCTCTGACAAAGCTCGAAGCACTGTCTTAGTTACTGAGTGCAGCTGCAACAGAAATACCACAAGTGGGTGATTTGTACCGACAGAGTTTCATTTTCTCGCCGTGTAGGAAGTTGGAAGTCCCAAGTCAGGGCAAGCTCTAGGGAAGGCTTCCTCTCTGTCTGATCTTAAGGAGGGTCCCTGCCTCTTTTGAGCTTTTCTGCTCAGAGGCAAACTTCATGTGACCTGGTATCTCTTTCCTCATCTCTGCGCTCCCACTTGCTTATTTATTAATCTCTTTTATTTCTCACACAAGATTGGCTCAAGACACACCCAACTCTAAATCTGTGCCATTAACATGAGACATAACATAAAACAACCCACTCCCATGTGGGATTATTACCATAGGCATAGACATTAGAATTTTTAACACGTCTTTTTTTTTTGGTGGTGGGGAGCTTGGGAAGGAGGCACAATTCAATCCATAACACACCAAATGCTTTTAAAAATCAACCTTATTGTGATAAAATTCACATTCATTAAGATAGAAGCACTCTAAGAGTACAGTTGGGTAGGTTTTGACCATTAACCCCCCATGCCTGCAGGGACTAGATTGTAGTAATCCAGATTAGAGATGGGGCATGGAAATGTAGGTGGGAAACAATTCCAGGAATAGTTCGGCTGTGACCTCATCAGGGACTGGCGATGTGACTGTTTGTGGGTAAAGAAGAAAAGGGGAAACTGGAAGATGAGGCTCAGCCGTGAATAAAAGAGAGAGATTACCTAGTGCACTCAGTTCACCTTCAGCTGGAGATGTGAATATGATGAGATGTGGGGACGGACGCTCAAAACCAGGCCAAATGGGTATGACGAGGGCCAAAGCGAGACTTGGGTGAGCCATCAGCAAACGGAATAGTTGAAATCACGAGTTTGAAGGAGCTTTTCAAGGTTGAAAAGTAAATCAATGAAAGGAAGACAATGGCGTCAGAGAGCGGGAGGCGAAGCAGATAAACACTTGACATAGGAATTCCCACCATTACCGGTACCTCCACCATCCGCCCCGAGGGGCTAGAACATGATTCTGCGGGACTTGTCAAACAGTTGAAGGTGTGGCCAGTATTTCAGCACTCATCCTGCTGGGGCGTGTGCCGTGAATTTAATTTGGGGTTGGCCTTTTAGACCAGGGTACAGAGAAGAGGTTTGGCAGTGAAAGTGGGATTTACATGCTATTACCTTACAGATCCCTAGGAGAGAGCAGGTAGGTTCTGAGTGATGGGGCAGCCCCGACGATACTTTCAGAGGAAGGAAAGGGCCCTCCTAGTGGTACCTTTTTATGGTTCTAGGTTCATGCACTGGCTCACATCAGTGGACAAAACGGGGTCATCCTTGAGAGAGAGCTTCTCTGGTGTCCTGGATTCTTTCCCGCTTTTTGTTGCTCATTGATATCTCTGAGTACAAGCAATCACTGTCATTTGTATACAAAAATGGCTCTTTCTGGGCAGTCAGAACGGTGGGGTCTTATTCTTTGCCTTACTCCTCTTCCTCTCTTGCTGACTGCTTCATAGAAGGGACAGCGAGTGTACTTTATGTTGAAACAGCACTGCCTATAGTGTCAGGAGGTGAAATTCTTGGGAATGGGAGTCCTTTGACTTTGAGGCTGAACCTGGGCTCCCTTGGCTTCCTCCAGTGTCTGCTACACTCGCTCACAGGGCCAGTGGCCCCACACAAGAGTCTGGCTTTGTCTTGGCTTGGAGGAGCCTCACCCATAGCAACTCAAGGTTGAGCAACCGCATCTCCAGGGACGCTGAATTTCCCTGTTCGCTTGTTCACTGCGCCCTCTGCATCCAGTTGGCCCTTATTACTCAACCTAATGCTTCCATTGAGCTGGGTGGATGAAGAGTATATGGGTGTGACCAGTGCAACAGACTCTCAGAGCAGGCTGTGAGTAATCTTTGTCCTAGATTTTCCAGAAGGCTCTGGAGATTTAGCTAGATCTTTAGAGTCCACAGTCAGCGTCCCATTTTCTACAGCGTGATGCTCCTCTCATCTGGTGGTGTTTCCATGGTTTCCAAACAGACGGTTCTTATTTGCATACTTCTCAGAGAGCTCCTCCTTTTCTGTGTCTCTGCCTTGGAGCCTTCCTGTTGGCCTGGAGATGGTGCTGCAGCACGGCTGCTCAGCAGCCCTGCCTGCCATCTCGGTTTGCCTGTGTCTGAAGTTGCCGGTGACTCTTTTATTCTGTGCACGGCGCATCTCTGCATCTAAACCCAGCCTGAGCGAATGGCCCAGCCACTAGGCGAGAAAAGCCAGAAGTCTCCAGTGGCAGGCAGTCTAGCCTCGAACCAGCATCAGTACCCACTGCCCTTTCTTTGCTTCTTCACCAGGAGTCCCTGACCCTACTTCCCACTTCATAAACTAGAGCAGGAAGACCGTAGAGCCTATCTGGCTTAGTCTCTAAATGACATTTAGAGCAAGCTCTGGGGGATGTGCTGAGCACAGTGCTGCCGGGGGAGGTGGTTGTGAGGAGATTGGGCATCATCCCTCTTTTCAAACGTCTGATAAAGCCACATGACTAGATCTGCCATGGGAAAGCTCGGGAACCATAACCTCTAGTGCCAGGATCTGACTCAACCTCCGTCCCTATCCCTAGAGCATGAGAAAGACCGGCTGTGTAAGAGCGCTGACTACATGAACCTGCACTTCAAGGTGAAGTGGCTCCACAATGAATATGTGCGGGACCTGCCTGCCCTCCAGGGCCACGTGCCTGAGTACCCCGCGTGAGTCATGATGTGGGCACTAAGGAGGGAAGGGAAGAGAGTCCCGGTGGCTGAATGGGGTGGGCAGGGCCCAGTCTCCTTAGTTCAGTGCAGCAAGGCTGTTCTGGGCTCTCCTACAGAAGGAAAGGGTCAAGCAATGTCCTGCCTTCCAGAAGATCCCAGTCTGGTGGAGATGGCAGGCACAGGGCAAAAGCGAACCATGAGCTCCAGCCCCCCTTCTCTTGTCCACAGGTGGTTTGAGCCGTTTGTGCTGCAGTGGCTGGATGAGAATGAAGACGTGTCCCTGGAGTTCTTGCGGGGGGCCTTGGAACGTGACAAGAAGGATGGTGTAAGTGGGAAGCTTGGACGGCCCAGGGCTTGGGGCAGGTCAGGTTTCCAGCAATTCGCCGTCTGCAGACACGTCTTGGGTTTTGCCAGCACGGCTATCCCTGGCTTGCGGAGTTCCTAAGAAGGACTCCTGAGGGCCACTGATTCATCCCTGCTGGGTAGAGCCCCGCTGAGCCCTGTTGGCCTGAGGACAAGCTGACAGCTGCAGAAGGTGACCCTGTGTGTGGCCTTGCTTAGTTCCAGCAGACATCCGAGCATGCGCTCTTTTCTTGCTCCGTGGTGGACGTCTTCACGCAACTCAACCAGAGCTTCGAGATCATCCGCAAGTTGGAATGTCCAGACCCTAACATCCTTGCCCACTACATGAGGAGATTTACCAAGGTGATCGCGAGTCCCCTTCCCCTCTCCCTTAGCGCCACCACCCTCGCAACCTCGTCCCAGGTCTGAGCTCAGCCTCCCTTGGAGGGGCCTTCAGGGAAAGCCTGGCACCACTCCCAGCTCCTGTGTGTGTTGGGGCAGCCAGAGGGCCTGCCTCAGTGCTGTCTGGGTCGCGAGGTGCCCCTTTCGCCTCCTGTGCTTTATCTGGGAGACAGCTCAGGTGAGAGCTCGGTGGGCCTAAGTGAGGGTCTCCTTTCCCTTTCTCCTCTCTTGTCAGACCATCGGGAAGGTGCTGATGCAGTATGCAGACATCTTATCAAAGAACTTCCCAGCTTACTGCACCAAGGAGAAACTGGTGAGGCTCAGACCCCAAGCCTCTGAGAGGCAGGGCAGGACATGTGAACCCCCCTTGCTGTTGAGGCCGTCCTCGAGCTCAGGGCTGGGTCGATTCTCCTGACTTCCGGTTCCAGCCAGAGTTTGCTCCTTTGCCCATCTGGTCCTCTTTGCCTAGCTGGCTGGGCTACATGTAGTCTCTGGAGAGCTATGCCTCAAATGTTAAGAACTTGGCCAGGACTTCCTCTGAGTTTCCACTTGGTAGTGTATCTTAAGCTTTTGGTCTTTTTTCCTTCAAATATTAAGGAGGTAGGAAGGATTGTGCCATAAACACCTGTGTGCATACCACTCATCTTAAAAACCCAAACATTTGCTTCTAATGTTCATTCACGAATGGCCTGAATTGCCTCCAGATCTCCATACTCAGAGAGAAGCCTGTGTGATACTTGTGAATTAATTCCCCCATGGCTTTCAGCATAGTGTGAGAATGGGGCGGGGATGCTAGGCTGGTGCACCTTTTGGGCTGCAAGGGCCCAGATTCAGCCACCCCTCTGTCTCCAAAGCCGTGCATCCTGATGAACAACATGCAGCAATTGAGAGTCCAGCTGGAGAAAATGTTCGAAGCCATGGGAGGCAAGGAGGTAGGTCTTGGGGTTTGGTGCCCTGCACCTTCACTCTCTTCCCGAGCCTTCTTGCCACAGACCACTGCCCTCTTTTGAACTGGGTATTAGCCTGAAGAGTCGACTAGGCACTGGGATAGAGCCCGCAGGAGGAATGGGAACACAGACGGGAAGAATAGGCTAAGAGAACCAGCTTACCCAAACCCACCCTTTGTGGATACAGTTGGACCCCGATGCTGCAGACAGCCTGAAAGAGCTTCAGGTGAAACTGAATACAGTTCTGGATGAGCTCAGCCTGGTGTTTGGAAACAGGTCAGTGGCCTCAAAATGCAACGGAGCTGCTGGCCCTCAGAGCCCGGTAGGGTCTCTGGCCGATCCCAAAGTCCACCCCCCCCACCCCCCACTGCAATATCTGGCTGCTCTTCCCTCCGCCTCGGCCAGGCCCTGTGGCAGCTGCACCGTGAGCAGGCTGGGATGGAACCAAAGAGCTGGTGCTGCTCCAGGCCAGGTGTGGGGAGCGGAGCGTTGCATTGAGGGCACATGTGTAGTTTCCAGGTGCGGATTGATGAGTGCGTTCGACAAATGGCTGACATCCTGAGCCAGGTCCGGGGCCCAGGGAACGCATCCCCCAACGCCAGGGCCTCCGTGGCTCAGGATGCAGATAGCGTGCTTCGGCCTCTCATGGATTTCCTGGATGGCAAGTGAGTATGGCCCTCAACGGTCCTGTGGGGAAAGCAAGGCCCAGGAACGTGGGCAGAGGCGTCTCTCCAGGAGGGTCTCTCGAGCTCTGGCCACGGCCTCACCTGTGGCCTGGGCCCACAGCCTAACGCTCTTTGCCACGGTGTGTGAGAAGACGGTTCTGAAACGAGTACTGAAGGAGCTCTGGCGAGTGGTCATGAACACACTGGAGCGGATGATTGTCCTGCCCCCCCTCGCTGACCAGACGGTAAGTCAGGACACTCTGTTTCCCTCCTTCTTCCTGATCAAGTCTGGGGGGGCTCTGCTTACTCCGCTCCCCTCTGCCTAGGGCACCCAGCTGATCTTCACTGCTGCCAAGGAGCTGAGCCAGCTTTCCAAACTCAAGGTTCTGTGGCTATGGGGTCCTACTGACAGGCATGGTGCTGTTGAGACTAGGCGGTGGGGGCTGGGCAGAGGAAATTGGAGATCGAGAGCCTGGAGAGGAGGGGAAAGAGAGGACGGAGCAGACAGCTGTGGGGCATGGCTTTCATGACGGTTTGGACATGGTACATTCTTTGGTGTTCCAGGACCACATGGGGCGGGAGGAAGCGCGGAGCCTCACTCCCAAGCAGTGCGCTGTTCTTGACCTCGCTCTGGACACCATCAAGGTGGGGCCCTGCCCCTTTCCCACCAGCCTTACTACCATGCCCAGTGGGTCCAGGTGTGCTAGTCTGCCAGACTAGGGATCTCCTTGCGTCTCTTGCCACTCTACATCCAGAAAACAGAGCTGTCTGAGTTCATTAATGTTTTCTGCTGTACCCATATTCCTGGCTTCCACAGGCTTCCGAAACTCATTTGGGAGCCAGCAACAAGGCACCCCCTGGGCGGTCTCCAATGGCTCACCATGGGCCCGGGACACTTATTCTTAGGTCTGAGGACAAGGCCCGCACTTAGGTTCTCACTGCTGTGCCTCGGTGTGTCCCACTGGGAGTTACTCTTCCAGATCTCGGTGCTCCGGTGGCTGGCTTTCTTTCCTTTCACTGAAACGTGAATCCTTTGCACTTTCACAGGACTTTTCTCTACTGTCCTTCATGTTTCGTTTCCAATGTGGAACATCTATACCAGGTGCTACGCATTACGAAGGGTACCAAGGAAATAAGATCAGGTGCTTGAACTCAAGACATTGATAATCTGGCAAGGAAGTAGCAAAGCAGGGACATATAAGCTGTGGTTCAGGGAACTTGGCAGAGGCGCTGCTGAGGGACAAGCTTCCTAAAAGACCACAAAGGCACTTCTGGTTCTTCCTCGTGGCTGAGAAATGGTTCCACCCTCGCGCATCATCTGCCCCGATGGACCCACCCTCAGCCACCACCTCCAGGAACTCTCTCCTGCCGAGCAGCTCCGTGACCCCCCCAAACCAGAGCTCAATAACGCAGCCTTGTGTGCAAGGCTTCTCCCTGTCTCCCCTGACGCTGACAGTCCACGGTGGAGAAGGACAGTTCACCCGAGCCTGTGACTCTGGCTTTCGGGGGGCTTTTCCTAATCTTCTTGTTTATGAAAGCCCTTAGTGTCATCACTACTCTCTCCTCCTGGCTTCTTCTACACCTCCCTGAACCTCTATTCCAACAGGCTTTTGGGGGGACAATGTTGGGGCGCTGCCATGCCTGGAAGGGGATGAGGCAGTAGCAGCTACTCTCTTATCTTTCAGCAATACTTCCATGCAGGAGGCAACGGACTGAAGAAAACCTTCCTGGAAAAGAGCCCAGATCTGCAGTCCCTGCGCTATGCCCTGTCTCTGTACACGCAGACCACAGACACACTCATCAAAACCTTTGTGCGGTCCCAGATTTCCCAGGGTAAGCCCCCAGGGGCTTTGGGTGCCCATGCCCCTCCCAGGTATAGCTGTACCCAACCTGCCTGCGTCCTCTCCTCCCAAGGGCAAATCCAGCTACTTCTTCACACAGCCCTTCAAACAGACTCCATGGTTTCTTAAGGGAGCCAAGTAATCAGGCCCCACCCCTCCTGTACTAGATCGCATCGTGCATCTCTATCACACAGGAGCAGCTCACCCACCCAAACCGAACCCACTGCTGTCGGGTCAGTTCTGACTCACCGACCCCAAGTGGGGTTCCCGAGGCTATAACTCTTTTTGGAAGTAGCCTCACCCTTTCCCAAGGAGTGGCTGATGGGTTTGGAGCACTGACCTTGCAGGAAGCGGTCGCTGCTTATTCAACGGGACTACCGAGGTTCCTTGGGGAATCATAAAAGCCTGCGAGTAAGCCTGTGCTTTCTCTCCCAGACCTCACCGGACCAGCACATTTATGGTGAACTCCAGGAGCCTGGTTTGGAATAAGAAGAGGGCAAATCCATGAAGAAGTATTAGAAATGATTAGTTGGGACACTCAGGGAGGTTCATAGCTTTGGAAGCTTTGTCAGGAAGTTGTCCTGCAGAGAGAGAAAAGATTCTTCTGTGTCGCCTGTGTGGTGACTGAGAGGCCAACCATGGGAGAGGGTAGGAAAGGGCGCAGCTCCTGAGGCAGAGCTGCGGGCCCGTCTCGTGTGTTGTGCTAATGGATAGGGACCCTGGCAGTGGTCCAGAGATTTCTAGTCCTCTGAATCGCCCCCTCCTGCCAGGGGCTCAGCCTGAGATTCTGGCCCTGACCCTCAAGCAAGGCCACCCCAGGAGGGATCTTCAGAGACTGCTTGTCCAAAGAAACCTGGAACTGCCACCCGCCCGGGAGAGAGAACCTGGTGGAGGGAGAGGGCGGGCTTCGGTCTTACTGAGTTGGGGTCTGAACACAGAGCTGACCTGGACGGGAAGAGGGATCTGGGCAGCGAAGCCGGGGAGAGGGAGGGGAGAAGTGGAAGAGGCCAGCAGTGCTACTCCGTCTTCCCTATCTGTCTCGCTCCAGTCTAGGGTGGGAAGGTGGGAGACCAGAAACAGCTATGAGGGGACAGGGCAACTTTCACAGGGCTGTGCACCTGCAGAGGCTTTGTCCTCGGGTTTGGGCTTTTTAGAAGCATTGTGCTTTAAGAGCTGAGAAGGAGGTTGGGCCGGGGATTATATATATGGACATGGTGGGGCTTTCCAGTAAGAGTCATGGTACAGGCAGAATCCCACTGTGTCTGTGCTTGTTTTCTGCCTCTCGCGGCAGCATTGAGGGGCTCAGGAAATCAGAACCCGCGGCCTCTCGTCTGCCCCCCTGATCTCAGACCCCCTCTCTGTCTGCTCTTCTGCCCTTGATCTGGTTGCTCTCCAAACGCTGGAGATTAACCGACAGCAGCCAGGCATGGATTCCTCTCCCCGCCTCACCCCTGCCTCCGTGCTCCTCGGGACTGGTGGAGAGCTGCTCTGCATGGCTGTGAACTCCTGAGACTTCTAACTGACTCTTCTCTCTTTGTTCTGCTGCTGCTACTACCCCTTGGCATGCCTGTGCCCACTCAGTACATGGTGGGAAGGGGATTAGGTTCACTGCTAACGAGGACATTCGACCAGAAAAGGGTAGGTTGTGTCCTGTGCAGATGTGAATCTGACATGAGCGAGTCGACTCCCCTGTGAATTAGAGTTAAGCCCTTCGTGTTGGGGGCAGGGGCGGGGAAGGAGGTCCCAAGGTTCAAAGGCTCTATCCCAACTTTTAGAGATGGGAGAGGTTTTCTGGCAGCTCAAGGAGAGTAACCACAATCCTGCCCTCAGAACGCTCTGCCTGCGCAAAGAAGAGTTTGGTACGGGGAGCGGCGGTGTAACGGGGTTTTCATCAAAGCCATAGGGGCCTCTGCGGAAGGTTGCCCTGCATGTTGGCTCTTTCCAGCGTTTGGCGTTAAGTGGCCGTTCTGTGGAAGGCTCCAGGTTTAAGTAGGACAAAGCACTTAGTGCAAAGGGCGGCCTCCCAGGCAGAAATCCTAGGCCAGGCAGTGGGCTACTTTCAGCTAGAAGGGAACTACGTTGTTCCACTAGAATCAGTGGTTCTCAACCTTCCTTGTGCAGCAACCCTTTAATACAGTTCATGTTGTGGTGGCCCCCCCAACCATAAAATTATCTTCGTTGCTACTTCGTAACTATCATTTTGCTACTGTTAGGAATCGGGTGACCCCTGTGGAAGGGTCGTTCCACCCTCCAAAAGGGTTGAGACCCACAGGTTGAGAACCACTGCACTAGATGGCCCAAAGGGGGGACGTAGTTCCCAGATGTACCAGGGTAACAGTGCTGTCCTTCTCCAGCATCTTTAGGAGAGAGGAACCATTCGGGGATCCTGAGAGTCCTGGTTATTTGGGGTTTGGAGTTTTTTTAGCAGTTTTATTGGCACTTAATCCACATATCACCCAATTCAATAGTTCAGTCATATCAAGAATTGTACAATCATGACCACAATCAATTTCAGAACATTTTCTATTTTCCCCCCCATGCTTAAATCGCCCTTAAAATGAGTTGTGTCATCACCTTCAGTTCTAGTGCTCACTTCCCCGCCCCTTCTCAGCCCCCGGTTTATTCTTCTAAGAATTTCTGCATAAGCTCTCAGACTAACTTTGATAGCCTCACCTCTCCCCACTTCTTTCCCTTCTCCTGTTGCCTCCTGACCTGTGGTTACTCTGCGGCCTTGCCTCTTGCTTTAGGGTGGAGGGTGGTAGCCTCCTAACTCATCAGTTTTGCCTGAAGTCCTGCAGTTCCTAATGAGGGACTCACCTGACCTTTTTGTCCCTCAGGGTCTGGTGTGGACGACCCTGTGGGGGAAGTCTCTATTCAGGTGGACTTGTTTACACACCCTGGTACCGGGGAGCACAAGGTCACAGTGAAAGGTGAGTGGCATGCAGTCACACGCTCTGACTTTTCCAGCTCAGCCTTCCTCCAAACAGAATACCCACCGGGTTCAAATATCCCCCACCAATTTTCCTTCTTTGGCAGTGGTAGCTGCTAATGACCTTAAGTGGCAGACAGCTGGTATGTTCCGGCCCTTTGTGGAAGTGACCATGGTCGGCCCCCACCAGAGTGATAAGAAAAGGAAGTTCACAACCAAATCCAAAAGCAACAACTGGACCCCCAAGTACAATGAGACATTTCACTTGTAAGTTATGGGGTGGAGGGCCAACAGGACCTGGGGAGGGGTGGTGGGTAACCTGGGAGTTGAGACCGCAGAGGAGATGGGTGGGATGGGATGGATAGCAGGCTGGGGTAAACTCGGTTGAAACCTCCTTCAGCTCCTGCCTCCCATCTGTTTCCCTGTGCTCACAGCCTCCTGGGAAACGAAGAGGGGCCAGAGGGCTATGAGTTGCAGATATGCGTGAAGGATTACTGCTTTGCCCGGGAGGATCGTGTGCTGGGCCTGGCTGTGATGCCACTGAGGGATGTGGCCGCCAAGGGCAGCTGTGCCTGCTGGTGCCCCTTGGGCCGGAAGATCCACATGGATGAGACGGGCATGACCATTCTCCGGATTCTGTCTCAGAGGAGCAATGACGAGGTGGCCCGAGAGTTTGTAAAGCTCAAATCGGAATCCCGGTCCACAGAGGAGGGGAGCTGAGAGCGCCTTAGGTCCCCGGTGCCACGCAGGCAACACTACTTCCACAAATCAGGGCCATTGGGAGTTCGCTACGTAGCCAGCTTAGGGTCCTTCTAGTCAAGAGGCTGACTCCTTCAGTTAAGGTTATTTAAGGCAGTTTGGGGGTGATGAGGGTCTGGCTTTTCCCAGAAAGGGCCGTGAACCCCTGACTAGCGGGCCAGTGGTGCTAAGAGCTGGGCTGTGGAGGCTACCACAAAGAGATTTTTCTACGGAGAGAGGAACAGGCATTGCTGACTGTCAGCCATTCTTGGTAGATGCCCCTCCACTCTACGCCTTCTCTAGCCACTCACCCTAGCACACTGCATCCAATTAGACACATAGGTACCCATCATCAGACAAACAGGTGTAGGAGTCCTGGAGCTTGTGCCTGGTCGGCTGCGTAGTCAGTTGAGCCTACAGATACCATTTGAGCCTTGTGGTCCGGATGGAGTGTGGGCAGGTCCAGAGGATAGAATTCAGACGGTCCCTTGAGCAGAATCCACCGGTCTTGTGTGGCTCCAGTGTGAACAAGGCTTTGAAACTGAACAAGATGCCTTCCAGAACTGAGTTGTGCTAACCCACCTCCCAGATGCTATCCGTCATGAGCAGTCAGGCTCACATGGTGCTTCAGAGACCTGAGCAGGATCCTCAGTTGAGCCCCAGCGGCAGGAGCCTCTGCACAGGAGCCCCCTCGACCTCCCTCCTGTCTGGCAGGGGAGGGGTACTGCTGCTATGGCCTCTGCCTGAGGTTGAGCTGAAGGAGCCAGGAGAGAGGTTACATGCCTTTCTCAGCTAGGACTGAACAAAGTCAAAAACTGTGGACCCGTGTAGAACAGGGCCTCTTCACTCGGCCTCTGGCTTTGGGCTGCCCTCCACCTTATGGAAAGAATCTGGGCTTTGGACTCTCCTTGGCACCTGGGTCAGCTATTGTTCCCTCCACAGATGTTCATCCCTCCAGAGGAGCTTGGAAGCTAGCCCCTTTGTGCAGGCTGGCTGGAGCTGGGGGGGTTGGGGTGGGAGGGCGGGCGGGCACGGACTCCACACTCCCCAAGAGGTCTGAGGCAAACCCTTTGAGGGGTCGTATGGACTGCCCAGCCCTTGCTCTCAGCAAGGTGGCACAGCCTTTGGATTTCCTTGGTAGCAGATTCCTGGATGTCCTGAGGAAATCAGCATTATCCACAGTCGTACTGGCCATTACATGAAACAAGAAACCAAGCATCTATTGTTAATTATTGTATGTGCCATTGTTACAGGAAATTATAGGCTAGGCTGTAATAAATTATCTTATAGCAACCTCTGGGGTCTGGTCATTCTGAAATGTGGAGAGCCACAGAAAGGACTAGCCTACCTAGTGCCAGACAGTGGGCCTGTGGCCACCTGCCACATCACCTTCCCTTTCTGCCCCTATAGCAGCTCTAAATAAACACCAAGTAATAAGAGAGCGATTTTTACCAGAGACCACCAAACCCAGTAACAGATACAGGGCCTAGGGCATCGGCTGCCTGCAGAACTCAAAAGCAGGAGCTGAGAACAAGTGTTGGTGAAAACCAGCCCACACAATCTCTGTCTTTGTATAGACCCACCAGACTGCTAGAAGCCAGACCACTGCCTGGGTTATGAGGACAACAAAGGTGGAGTGAGGTCTCGGGGAACAGAGGTGCCCCCAAGGCTTGGCCGAGGGCTGTGGCTGGCACAAACAGGACACAGAGGGCTAGGCACGGAGATTGCACATTGGCCAGTTCATTCAAGCGTTATTCAAAGAAGAAGAGCTTGGGTAGAAAGTGTCCTCTCAGCAGAGGAAGCAAGGTAAAAGTGAGGCTTCTCTGCCACAGCGTCAGACAAGGTAAAGCCAGAAAGCTAGCGCTCACCTACTTTCTCAGCCTGCTCTAGCCCCACCGTGGGGCGAAGAAGGCACACTTCCACTACCTACTACCACGCCCATCGCCATCAGAGTGGAATTGCCCCTTAGGGTTTCTGAGGCTAGGTCTTTCTGGGAGCAGGCAGCCACATCTTTCTCCCGGAGAGCCACTGGTGGGTTTGAACCACTGACCTTGATGGATAGCAGAATGCTTAACCTACTGCTTCTCCCACGTGCTTTCCCCTCCTCGTTTTCTCAGTTCTGTATTTACACTTGCATGCTACACAAATCCTCCCAACTCAGTTGCCAAGCCCCTTTCAAACCTCTTCCTTCCTGCCCATACCAAACCAGTCACCGATCATTTCTACCTCCAGATCGCCTCTGGAGCCGCACTGCCGCATTTGGTCGCTTTCCTTTGTCTTTCAGTGGTCTGGATGACCTTCACCGTGCCCTTCACGCTCACTAGTCTGTCACTTTCCTGGACTTTCCTGGAAAAGCTAGCCAGCTAGAGCGCCCCACCCCAGGCTGACACGCAGACCCTCCCAAGGCAGTGCAGCCCCACCACCTATTCGTGTCCCATCATCCGGTGGCCCCAACACCAGCCGTGAGCCCTAAGCCCTCTGCGTCGTCGGTCTCTAAGCCCTTTGTTGGAATATTCGGAAGTCTTGACCCCCACCCGGCCCCCAAGCTTTGACATCTAGAAACCTCTAAGACCCAACCCTAGCCGCAAGGCACAGCTCGCTAGGCAGTTCTAATTTACTGGTCTGGTCCCCACATCAGCTTGTGGTCTGAAAAGTTCGTCTCCAGTGGCGGGCACTTCGTGCGCAGGCCGACAGCGGCAGGGAAGCTGGGAGGGGCTGGGGGCGGGGCGGGCTCGCGGTGGGCGGAGTCGGAGGCGGGCTCGTGGGGAAGGAGCGAATAGGAGGTGGAGCTGTGCTCTCCGGCGCCTGCGCATAAAGGTGCGTTAAGATGGACGTCGCTGGAGTCGGTGGCTGTGTGGCGATGGTGAGCATGAGGTGCCCAGAGGGCGCGCCCGAGGAGAGGTGGTCACTGCCCTCCCGACCTTTCACACTCCTAACGTTAGTGCTCTTCCCTGCGTTTCCATCCCTCTACTGTCTCATAAACTGCTCTCCCAGCATCCCCCGAGCTATTGCCCCTTCGCCTTGAGTCCGCAGGTTGCCAAGGCAGTGGGGACGAGGCGCTTTGTTTGCCCGGGACCGAGCAAAGGGGGTCTTCACCTCGCAGCAACTCACACAAGGCACACGCTCTTCTAGTTCCCCTGGAAGCAGAGAGCCAGGTCCCCGGATGAGGCCCATTCCTATTAACTCCAATTATCCACATTCCCGGCATTGTCCAGATTCTCTGAGAAGCCATGAAGTTTCTCTCATATTTGACTTGAAATTGGCCCTCTGGCTGTTTTTCCTCATCCAGGGTCTCAGACTTACTCGGCTAGTAAAAGTCAAGACTGGCTGACCACCGTGGTTTGCATTAAGGCTTGCACATTGTAATGAATAGTTAACTTTTTAAAACCAGGGTTCAAAAAAAATTTTAATGCAGATTTCCAACGTTTTAGAAAAAAATCAGAAGATCTGCTAACTCTTCATTCATATCCTCCCAAAGCAAATGGAGCTTGGAGCTGAGAGGCAACTGTTTAATCCACTAGGGTACATTACAGATTCTACCACTCCTAGTTTTCCTGCCTGGACTTTGCATTGTTTCCTGGCATTTGTGCTTATGGCCCCTGATGTAGGACATCTGGCCAATTTTCAGAGCCAACAGTATGAGCGCCTAGTGGTAACGCATCAAAAGAGGCTGGATATTTCAAGCATACTGGATCGCCACCAAGGAATCCTGGTTTGGGCTGCTCCCCACAAGTTCAACCCTTTGAACTGGCAACTGCTTGAGGAAGAAAGCTGAGGCTGTCTGCTCCTGTAAATACCTACAGCCTCAGAACCCCCGAGGTGCTATTCTCTCTATGGCAGTGAGTTTGGTTTGACCATAGACACAAATAGGGAACTTTTAAAAAGTTCAGGGAAATTTTCCGTGATCTTTTTGTTAGCTTAGTATCATGCATCATGAGAGTTTACAGAGCACATCATCAGGTTTACATTCAGCAATCCATAGACATGTTGTTTCATCTCTTTCATTGCAATCCCCTCAATATAACACCATTTATCCCACTTCCTCCCTGTTCCCAGTTTCCATTCCACCTCCTTTTTAACCCTTCTTCAGGTTGCCCATGGATAAATGCTGCTCTCTGATCTCAAACGGTTGATGATTCTAAGGTGTGCATACCTCCTTAGTATCATTGTCCCCTTATAGACCTGTCAATTGTTTGGCTGACAATTGAGCCATAGAGATAAGCTCGTTCCAGACCTAAAGGGCAGCCAAGGACCAGAGTCTCCGTTTCCACCAGTCTAACCAATCGAAAAGCCAGGTTAATTTTTACTTCTGTTGCACAATTTTCTCCCACTCCAACGAGGGATGTGAACCTTTTCGAAGCAGTTGGTAGTGGTAGTCAGGTACCCCCTAATTCGTTTGGTCTCAGGGTCATAGATACTAATGATCATTTGGTTCATTGGTCCATTTGAATTGTTTCCATCTCACTCGATGAGTTGGGAGTGATGGCAGTGAGAGTTTGATTTTCATAATTCTTGCCCTGGACAGGGAAGAATAGTTGAACCTTAGGTGGCCACTCATGAGCCTTTAACACTACTTGCTACGCACCAAAGTCGGGGACAGAACATTGTCTTGATGGACCATGTTCTGCCAACTGTTCTTGGTGTCCCCTGAGGCATGCCCTGGCCTCCAGGCTCAGCAACTCATTTCTTCGAGGTATTTAGTTAAGAAATTCTCAAAAAAATTTTCCCTGCATGCTTCACCGCATTCATGAGTGTATTTACAGTAAAGATAACTATACATGTGCAAATATCCTCTGTTAAATCTCTCGCTTTCACATACACTATATATATAAAACACACATATATATAGCGGGGATGGGGGGGTTAACTCTCCCTCCCATGCCAGTCTAGCCTGCATGTCTGCCTATACACTCACTTGTAGATCACCATTATTGCAGGGGTGTGATGACAGCATTTCTCTCATTGCTCTCCCTCTTCCACTCCTCCCAGTCTCTTTCCCTGCCACCATCATGTTTTGCCAAGCTCCTCTTGTAATGTATTGCCGTCATCTTCATCCAAGTTAGCATGTGTCCCCCCATCACTAGAAACACGTAAGCCACCACAGTGCAACAAACTGACAGACAAGTGAGGGGGAATTACTGTGTGGTCCAGCAATTCCACCCTTATGTATATACCCTAAAGATCTAAAAATAATAAGAACATATATATATATGTGTATGTATATACACACACATACACATATGTTCATGGTTACTTTGTTCACAATAATAAATGCTCGTAATGGAAACAGCTGAAGTGCCCAGCAATGGTTGACTGGATAAGCAAATTGTGGTACATATGCCCCATAGAATACTATGCAGCCATCAAGGGCAACAGTGAGTCTGCCAAATATGTTAAACTATGGATAGACTTAGAAGATAAAATGCTAATTGAAATAAGCCGATGAGGGCCAATGTTGTATGATCTCTCTTTTATCAGTAAAGAAGAATAGATATACAGAGGCAGCCCAGTATTCACTGGCAGTTACTAGGGAGAGGATGGCATGGGGCACGTACACTTTAGATCAGAGAGGCTTGTTACTTTCTTTTGGTGATGGGGAAAGTGGCGCCCAATGTGGGGGTGGTGAGCACAGCACAACCCAAGTAAAACTGAGTGCTCAAGCACATACGGAGAGAGAGGGGCATGTGGGTATATGAGCAGGCACAGGGATGTAATAGATAAGAATTGATACAAGTATCTATACCTGTTGTCATTGACTTGGAGAACCTTTAGCGTTTCCAAGGCCGCCCATCTTTATGAAAGCAGACTGCCACCACTTTTCCCCAAGTGGGCCTGATGTTTTTGAAGCCCCAACCTTTTTGATTAGAGCCAACCGCTTTAACCACTGTGCCAAGGAAGCTCCTTGAAAGTATCTTTATGACTGGGGGCGTGGAGGGGGGCAACAAACAACCCCACTGCCATCAAGTCAGTTTTGACTTACTGCAACTCTAGATAGAGT